TGAAATAGATAAATTCTGTATTAGTTTTTCAAATGGTTGTTATTTGTTTTTCTTTAGCTTTCACACTTAAATTTCTACACGAATTCAATCCACACCGGGGTTGATAAGACAGACGACAGATATCTTCGTCTGCCGAAATAAGCAATACCCCATGTGAGTTGATTTTAGCTTTTATTATTTATTAATTATTTGGTCTGTAATAATAAATACGCTGAGCTCTTTTTGTGGATCAGTTTTAATAGTTTACATTACTAGGATCCACTAGGATTATATACCAACGGATTTGTTACCTTTAATATATATATATATATAAATAAATAAATATATATATGTATAATTATTTATATATTATATGCGCGGTACTTATTAGAAAGCGCTCAATATCAGAGATAGAGCTAACATATTTGGTTGGATAGATGTGAGTTTTGACCCTTTTTTTACGCTTAAGGCGATCGTCAGACAAATCTGACGATCGCTAAAGCGTGAAACCCAGGGTCAAACTAAACATTCTATCCAACCAAATATATATATATATATATATATATATATATATATATATATATATATATGCAAACATGTTTTATCAAATTCTACCGACAAGGTTTATTTTTAAACCTTTTTATTATACTTTTTAAATTTTAAATTTTATTATACTTTTTTTAAATTTTAAATTTTATTATACATTTTTAAAATTTCAATTACATTTTCTATATCCAAAGTTTATACTTGATTTTTTTTTTAAAGGCAGTAGAACAAACATTCTATCACGATAAACAGTACCTTCAATATATATATATATATATATATATATATATATATATATATATATATACTAGCAGTAGAGCCCGGCGTTGCCCGGGGATGTAACAGTAAGAGATAGATCAAGTATCGACTATCATAAAGACTGAAAAATAAACGAAAGATTAGTTTAAGGTTGACGGACATGCATGTCTTAATTAGTTTTTTTTTGTTTTTTTGTTTTTTTTTTACGAATTGGTCAAACCCAAACTCAAACAAAAACATTGTTTTCAATCTTTATGAGTCTATCGATTGAATAGAATTTTATTTTATTATAAACAATTGTCTTGTAAATGGAATTTTTAAAAGCATTCTGAATGTAAAAATAAAGAAAAAAGTGTGCAAGACAATAAGAAACACTACCTGCCAAAAAAAAGTGAAGTTTTATTGAAATCGGTTGAAAAATGTAGGAAATCCGATCCCATATATAAACGAACACACAACACACACACACACACACACACACACACACACACACACACACAAACAAACAAACAAACAAACAAAAAAACAAACAACCTGGGTTTTATAATAAGTATAACTCGATATGAGTTGTCCCCCTTACATTCTCGCGATGACTCTTAATCGTGTTTTCAAATTGATTTCGTGCAAAAACAATTGTGTTTTTCCAATTTTTGGCACTGTCAGAACCACCGCAAGGTAATTTTACGTAGTCCTGTGAAGTTTTATTTGAAATCAGTTGAAAAAAGAAATCAAAATATAAATCCCACACAATACACACACACACACACACAAACACACACACACACACACACACAATCTGCGTTTTATAATTAGTAAGATATATATACATTATTTATAACTTTTTTCATATAGACGAAAACAATTTACTCACAACAAAGATGCAACTTCGCTTCGGTGTATTTAGTTGCAACTAAGTTGCAGCTTTGCTATTATATTATAAATTATAAATATTTTTCATTTAATGCTCTGAACGTTAAATTTATATATTATTTTCGCTCTCATTACATTTTTATATATTTATATATATATATATATATATATATATATATATATATTTGCAAGCAATTTTTATCAAATTCTACCGACAAGGTCGGCTTGTTTAAGTTTTTTATTATACTTTTTAAAATTTAATGTTATATTATACTTTTAGAAATTACATTTTTTATATCCGAAGTTCATATTTGATTTTTGTTTTTAAAGCCAGCAGAACAAACATGGTCTTATCTATAATTTTCAACCTGATATACATCTTCTTTGGAAATTGAAAAAAATACAAATTGAATTTATTAAAACTTTTTTGGGTGAGCATTTGCGACATAAACATATCTATATTGAAAATAGTATATTTAGACAGAAAAGATCTATTACAATAAAGAGTCGAAAATAATCATGATAAACAGTACTTGCCGCTTAAATATACCTATTGAAAATAGTCTGTTTACGTAGAAATGTTCTATTACAGCAACCAGACAGAGAATGTAGACCGGGTTATCTAGAGTTTCTCCTGATGGTGAATTAATCTCATTGTCTCAGATGGAAACAAAGTAGGCCTACTCACTTCCGAACGTTTAATTTCGACAATTCCTTTAAAAGTTTCCACTTGAGATAAAGCGATCAATTTGACGCCGGGAGAAACGAGCCAGCCACCTCTATGGACATTGGAAAAACATGTCTTAATACATACTCTAGGGATCTAAATTTAATATGTTCAATGGACACAGACACACACAGAGATAAAGGAACACAGACACACAGAGAAAAAAACAAAAGAAATGCATACACTTGTTTATTAGTAAAGAGAATTGATAATCGTAGTTATGCAGTTTATAGATACAGACTAGCAGCATGGCCCGGCGTTGCCCGTGCTTGATTCAAAAATCGTACGACGCATACAGCAATCGCTATCACTTCACTTAAAATATTTTTGCACTTCCTTGCCTTTAAAGGAGTGCCCTTTGCCGTGCTGATGTTGCTACATACCTTACTTCTTGCCTATCTCACACTGCGAATTTTTTCTAAGCTCTATACTAAACATTAAATCTGTTACGAAAAAAGAACTAAACAAAATGAACACAAAATGATCACCTTTAAAAAAGACTCGTAACTGGAAAAACCGAATGAAAAAAGAATGTTAACAACAAATACTTTTTCACGCCCGACCCAGTTCTGCGGAATCAGAATCAACGTTGAGTTTAAGCAAGTGAATGAGCCAATTGGAGTAAAGTGCCTTGCAGATTTAAATTTTTCCCACTTGTGACGAATGCAGCTATCAATTTTTTTTTACATGCTAGCATGCTAGTTAACATTCGTGTCAGTCAGCTGTTGGCTCTCACGCTGGCCAATAGAATCTTCCTGCCTAATCGTGGCAGCCAGCTATAAAAAAACTCTGGCCAGTACAAAATGGCCGCATACTACATGAAAACTGCTGTAGAAGCGTGAATAATCGATTATTTCCATTATCGATGGGAGTTGGGAAATGCATTGTCGGTCTTGGGCTTTTCGCTAACTTGGAGCATGTGCATGTAAATTTTGGTGCAAATCCGTCGAAAATTGCGACCGTGCATTCGTTACACACACACACATGCACACACACATCCTGCATTTTATAGATAGATATATATGTGTTGTGTTTAGTAAACACACACACACACACACACACACACACACACACACACACACACACACACACAAACATTGGTGTTAAATGCAAAAAATTGTCCAAATCGTGTAAAAGCAAAATTGTCCAATTGTTAGATTAAGCTTGTATCTTAGAAATGATTACATATATTTGACTGGAATTCTATGATGTTTTTATGACCCTGTTTGACCTACTTTGAACAATAAGTATCTATTTGGTTCTAAGTTGAAAAGATGACCCCACTTGCCGTTGTGACCTCCTGATGAAGTTTTCCTCTCAAGGTTCCCTCTTTTTTAAACTTATTCACCGTTCCCGTTGTGGTTCATGAATGGACTTTGAAAGATGGATGCCACTGTCTGAATGTCGGCATCATTACTGATGATCTGAATGATTTTTTCCTCACACCATTGCTCAGTTGGGAAAACATAGTGAAGCTGACATAAAACGATTAAACCTGTTTTCTTTCTAACTGAACAACTCAAAGGATTTTTCAGTGATTCTTACGATGGATAAACCTCTTATCTGAAAACCTGGAAAAAAGAAACTTAATTAGTATAGTGATTTTTCGATAATAAACATTGTATGGGATGGACAATTATCTTATGCTGTTACACAATTTGGATAACTTTGCTATTACTCCCTGTATACACACACGCTGATATATATATATAACGATTTAAAGAAAATGAATTTCTTTTGTATGATCATTTTTTTTTGTTTTTGTTTTTTTTTTTGTTTTTGCAGGACCTAGGTACCTTTCGGCCAACGCTTCATCAGGTTCTTTCGTTGGCAAATGATTTTAAACAAACAATGAAAATGAAAAGAACGCAATCAGCTCACGATTCGGCGATCGGGCAACACCTATTAGAAAATGAGTCATGCTCAAAACGTTTCACAATGGACTCGTTTTCAATTATATGCGTAGGCAGGTCCAAATATCATCTGTCTATTTTGGAAGCCATCTGCCTCAAATTATTTAAACCATCGCTTTCTAAAAAAAAAGGAGAAATTTTCACGATCGCTAAATTTATTTTTTTGATATATGAGCAACTTATTTTCCTATCTTACTGCTCAGGTTGGTTCATTATTATTAATTCATTATTTACGCATTTATTTTAATCGTAAATTTATTTTAATTTTACGTATATATATCTTCGTAAAATTTTAGACGTGTTAAAACCATACCATTTTGGCGATAATTTTCATTTTCATTGTTTGTTTAAATCATTTTGCCAACGAAAGACCCTGATGAAGCGTTGGCCGAAAAATTTTAAATAAAAAAAAAAAAAAATAAAAAAAAAAAAATGGTCATACAAAAAAAATTCATTTTTTTTAAATCGTTATATTTGTTTTGTATATATCAAAACATTATTCCAATATATATATATATATATATATATATTGACTTTTTATTATCGTACTAATTTTTGTCGCCAGGAATAATTACAACGTTTCGTCCAGACCAACGGCGTTGTATATGGCGACAAAGACGAGGACAATAGTCCGAATAATGTAAATAATGTACACAATACCACATCTCAGAAATATACACAGATACTGATATATTGAATGATTGGTGATGAGACGGCAGGTTTTTATTATTTTAGCTATTGATATGGAATAGGATTTACAATATATATATATATATATATATATATATATATATATATATATATATATATATATATATATATCTTGTATATTTAGGCAGCATATTTTCATTTATACACGTTTCATTAAATAATATAGACAAGTGTTTTCTATTTATTTTATGTAAAATTTGTTGTAAAAAATGATAAGTTAATAACATTATTACATTATTATGATTATAAAAAAAAAACTAGACCACATACTCCATGATCACATAAAGTTTAAAAAACTTAACAAAAACCTGACCAACCAACTAAAATCAAATATTTAATAAACTTATTAATGCTAATAATGCTGAACAGAACTCTTTAAAACTCCCTAAAATTGTTGGTGATTATAGACCTGGCTACATATATGGCAATATATAAAACACATAAACCTAACTATCCTCTCCATCCTATCATATCGCAAATTCCAACTCCTGTATATCATCTAACAAAAAAAAAAACCAACTTATTAATTCCATATCTTCCTAGTAAATATATTGTTAAGTCAACATTAGAAGTAATCCAAATAAAAAAGTGAAAAAACCTGACAATGAAATCATGGCTTCACTTGATGTTGAAAACTTATTTACCAATGTCCCTGTTAGTGAAACTATTGACATAATCATAAGAAATATATACAGTAACTCATCTTTACCCCACTTAAAATTAATCCTAATATATTAAGAAAACTACTATTAACTTGTACTTTTGAAGTCCCTTTCTTCGATCAAAATAATAAAAATATATATATACAACGTGATGGTGTCTCCATGGGTTCAGTATTGGGGCCGACATTTAGCAATTTCTACATGTCGAACCTCGAAAATAAGTTATTTTCAGATTTTAAAAAACCATCAATCTACCTAAGATACGTTGATGATATGATATTATATTAGTTTTAAAATACAGATGAAATAATTCAACTTCAAAAACGGTTCCAAAATAATTCTGTCCTTAAATTCACATATGAACTCAATACTAATAATAAAATCCCTTCCTTGACATATTGATAAACACAAATAATAACAAATTTACTATTTCGCCATATATAAAAAACCTACAAGCATAAATTCATGTACACTTAACTACAAGAGCGAATGCCCATATTACTACAAAATAGCAATTAAAAAATCTAATACATCGTGCAGAAACTAATTCATCCACCAAAACAGATTTTTTACAGTGAACTAAAGAATATAAAACAGACACTTATTAATAATAGCTTTCCAAACTATATAGTTGATGAACAAATAAGATGCTTTCTTAGAAATCTCAATAATAAGCAAATTGTATAATAATACTGCTTCTACTGATCTCAAATATATTAATCTCCTATATCGTAATCAAATGCATACTAATTATAAACAAGATGAAAACATACTAAAAAATTTAGTAAATTCTAATATATCAACAACAGATCCTAGCAAAAAAAAATTAAATTAATCATATACTACACTAAATCTAGTATATCCAACTTAATACTTCGCAATGATTCTTCTCCCCGGTTAGCGATTTGCAAAAAAACCAACATAGTTTATAAATTCAAGTGCCCTTTGGGAGTTTGTATCTCCAACAAATTAAATAATATTTATGTTGGTCACACCACAAACTCGCTTTCACGACGCTTGACACTACATTTTAATGAAAACTCTAACATTTTAGGCATTTAAAACAACATGCCTGCCCGCACACACAATTCCGTAAAATACTTGTCGAAAACACAACTATACTTCGACATGAAAACAATAGACAAAAACTAAAAATACTTGAAGCATTATACATCAAACAGTTAAAACCCAACCTAAAACAAAATCAATTATGGAATGTCTACAAATATTCTTAAATGTCTATAATTGGTAACAGAAGCCATTGGTTTATACCAACGGCTTTCCTTATTTCATTCTACAATTCACTCTCGTGTGGTCATGTGTGACGTCATGAGATGCGGTGCGATTTTCGCTTCTAGCGTCTTATATGCGCGTGTTTATCGTTGCTTAGTGATCCATCTATGTAAACAATGACAGACTATCATCACTGTCTTGTCCGTATATTGTTTAATATGTTTTACATCTTTGATAATGGCTTAAGTAAGCCGAAAGCTTAGATTATATTAAAAAAAAAATATGGATCAATATTGTGAATTTCTTTCTTCGTTTAATGATAATGTTATCAAACTTATCAGAAGTTACGAAAAAATTTTACATAAAATAAATAGACAACACTTGTCTATATTATTTAATGAAACATGTAAAAATATATATATATATATATATATATATATATATATATATATATATATATATATATATGAAAAGTGTATATAAATATAAATAAATATATATATGTGTAATTATTTATATATTATATTTTGTTTTACTATTTAGGAAGCGCTCAATATCAGATGTAGAGCTAATATATATATATATATATATATATATATATATATATATATATATATATATATATATATTCTCGCTTGAAATTTCTCACTTGAAATTTTCAAATTTAGCGTTGCGACTCGCACGTTACGAGATTGTACAACCGTCAATAAATAGCACACTCTTAAAAAATATCTTTCGATCTACAAACAGTTATTTCGTCTTCAAGTTTTAACTTTAAAGGAAAAAAAATACAGCCTGATGATGGAGACATGGATCTTCGAATCTATATAATTTTGCTTAACTTAAATAAATATACACTAGAAACATCTGACAACAATTTTATAAATGAGGATGACAACAGTATTTTAATGCATACATTATGTTGTTCTAGCGAAGTGATTTCACCATTAATCGCATTAATATAGATGATTGATTCTATGTATGTTTATATATATATATATATATATATATATATATATATATATATATATATATATATATATGCATATATGCTGGGTGCGGCAGAAATACAATCCCGCATATCTATCTATCTATCTATCTATCTATCTATCTATCTATCTATCTATCTATCTATCGTTTTATGATGGACAAGAATTCTATTTTTCGTAATATAGAATTTTAAAATACCTGACATTTGAGAAAATATTATTCTTTATTTTATACTAAATATCTCCCAAGACAAGGCTCAAGAGGCAGTCAAGCAGGTGTTATTGTTGAAATGATTAGGATGGAGGAATTGTGTGATATGAATGAAAGAGGTAATATGATGTGAAGTTTGTGAGTATGAAGATAAGGAGTATAGATAGCGATTGGAACATCACATGAAGAAGTTAAGATCTTTCAATGTTTTCATTTTTATTTATATATCTATCCCGATATGTAATTTATCTATCTATCGTGTTTTGTTTGTTCATATCTATCTATCTATCTATCTATCTATCTATCTATCTATCTATCTGATTTTGGTTGATCATATATATTTCTATGTATGTCTATCTATCTATCTATCTATCTATCTATCTATCTATCTGATTTTGGTTGTTCATATATATTTCTATGTCTGTTTATCTATCTATCTCTTCTTGGCTGTTCATATATATTTCTATGTCTGTTTGCCTATCTATCTATCTATCTATCTGATCTTGGCTGTTCATATATATTTCAATGTATGTTTATCTATCTATCTATCTGATTTTGGATGTTCATATCTATCTATCTATCTATCTATCTATCTATCTATCTATCTATGTATCTATCTATCTATCTATCTACGTATCTGATTTTAGCTGTTCATATATATTTCTATATCTATCTATCTATCTATCTGATCTTGGCTGTTCATATATATTTCAATGTATGTTTATCTATCTATCTATCTATCTATCTATCTATCTATCTGATTTTGGATGTTCATATCTATCTATCTATCTATCTATCTATCTATCTATCTACGTATCTGATTTTAGCTGTTCATATATATTTCTATATCTATCTATCTATCTATCTATCTATCTATCTATCTATCTAGCTAGCTAGCTAGCTAGCTAGCTGTCTGGTTCATATAGCTTCGTGTAGGATTCAGAAGCTTATGTTTATTTATTCGCGGGAGCTGATTTTATTGGTTATTGAATTGAAATATGTCTGAGACCGGAAGGCTGCGCAGAGTCTTTGCGTGGTGCGTTTATTTTTGTCATTTAATCATTTGATTTGAAACAGTTAACTTCCGCTTGCTCTATCATCCCATTCAGAATTGTCTAAACAATCAAATAAGTAAATACGTCTCCTCAGGTCAGTGATTAAAAGTACCTACAAGAAAACGAATCCATTAGATTATACAGAATAGAACCCCTCATCAGCTCTTGGAGACTGGCACTACAGAATCATGAACAATGAACTGTACCAAATAAAGTAAAAAAAAAAACCAAAAAAAAAAAACAAACAAACAAAGAAAGAAACACTTTACTTGAAGATTTCCAACAGCAGTAACAACTAATCTGGATAGCGCACGCAACTAGGATGGAGAAATGATGCGTGGTGCCTTTATTTTTGTCGTTTAATTTTGAATCATTTAACTTTCTTTTAAACACTCTTGCCTGAGTAGCTTTTGGGCCTTAGTATCGGGTGAACGTTAGTATAATAAAAAGAGTAGCATATTAGAAGTCGTTATGGAAGGATTTGGGAAAGGCCTTTGCACTTGCAGTGGTTCCTGCTGCAGATGACGATGACCTGCACATGCGAATGACGTGCTAGGAGTTAAGTATGTGTCTGCTAAGCATGTGCTAGTCGGAAGATAGCGTGAGAATGTATGGGCAGTCAAGTCGTGCAAACACTGGGGATTACTGGATCAATCACGGCTTACTTCGAACAGCAGCCACTTCAATATTCTGTCAATAAGTCATCAGGTTTTATATTGGTGTGTCTGGCAGCTTTTAGAGCATAAAGTGCATCAGCAAGAACTTTCATGTACGTTTGGCAGCAAACAGCAGTGTGGCAATAAAAATGAAGAAAGGAAGCGATTTTTTAAGTTTTTTGTTTTGTTTTTTACTATTTCTGACACTCGGAAAGAAAAAAATGAAAACCGCGCATGCTCAGTAAAACTGTGATACCTCACAATAAGAGTTATTCAACGTGAATTAAAAATGAAGACGCTTTCATTGGAACGAAATGCTGACGTAATTGGGGGAGATTATTTTTTTTTTTATCTAACCTTAAAATCCAAGATTCATTCCAAAAGCGAAACAAAGTAGTCGCAGACAAGAAAAGTTCCTTAGAAACAAAGAAAATACTGCTGGACTGTTACGTAATATCAGTCCTACTATAAGACAGTGAATACTGGACAATTTTCTCACAAATGAATAGAACTGGGGTAATAGATATCTGGTTCTATAGAAAGAGTCTAAGACTCTCTTTCCCAACGATAAAACGTTGTGAAACTCTTGCTACTTTATTGCTGTTGTAATTCGGCGAATCTTTTTTTATCTAACTTCGAAATCCATAATTAATTCCATGCAATCGCCACTTCTACTCTAACAGTTTCCCCCATCAATCCCCCACTGTGGAACACCTTCCTGATTTCTTACTTCCCTGATAACTACAATCTTCCAAAAATTGAAATGTAACGTCAATCGCCATCTTCTGTCGTCTTATGTTACATATTGACAGCAGTGAATGATCTCAGCTCGGCATTTTCCTCTGGGTCAGTGATCGCCAATGATTTCGGTTCGGCCCTGAAAAACTCCAACACAGAGAATATATTTTTATTAATCTTTATTAATGTCGACACGTATTAACCATTCTGTGGGGGTCACCCCCTCTTAGTGGGGAGCCGTTTCAGACACGAAAGAGAGCACGTCTACATCTCTTGACGGTTAAGAAAAAACTCGCTGAATAGCATTCTGTAATCTAACATTCCCACGCTAGCTCAGCCAATCAAAATCGACTTCCTTATTATGTTTTACATCTGACCCCGAAGGTCAATTTCCGGAAGTCAGAGCTGAGATACCCTTCCTCTTAAAAATAACAGTCTTCTAATCTATTATTTAACACTTGGATCTTGTTGCTTTTTTTTTTTGTCCTAATCTCATTCCTCCTTGTACTCAATCTTCTTATTCTCATTCACTTTCACTACCTGTACTTCCCGGAGTTCTAGTGACATTGTCGCCATTGCTTGGCGTGAAGTCATAAAAAAAGGGGAAAAAAAGGAGAAAAAAGCTAAGCAAAGTAATAAAATACACGAAAACAAACTTTTTTAATAAAACATCTTTCGACAAGTGGAATTTTACCCAAAATTACTTGAAATTGAGGAAAAAAAAATAACATCTATGCCTGAGGATGGTAAATGTTTTACCGAAAGTACTTGCAATATGGACGGGACTATTTCTTTCATACCTAAGTTATCGTTTCTGGTGATGAAGGAACGTAACCTGGAAGTATCAGCACTTTTAACAAAACCAGTCACGATGATTTGTGAGTACGTAATAGCACAACCATCGATGGCTTTTCGAACGGTTTTATGGAACTTTTGTTCAAAATACTTATATCAACCCTTGGAATAGTTTTCCGGGAATTTACGAATTTTCACATTGGGGTCGTTTCCCGATGTCGACATTTTCATATCTTTTACAAATCGATCATGTTAAGATTCGAACACGAGGTGAAACGCCGTGTAAAGTAACAGATCATGGTTTGATGAATCTGTCCTCAAACTTCTGGGTATGGCCTCTCATATTTCTTAATTGAGAACCGTGTTCTTAAAATCTAAGATGTATTTTGGGTATGACCTCTTATATGCGTTAACTGAAAACCATATTTTTAAAATCAAAGATGTACTTTGGGTATGGACTCTTATATGCATTAACTGAAAACCGTGTTTTTAAAATCTGAAATGTATTTTGGTCATGACCGTGTTTTTAAAATCTAAGATATATTTGAGGTATGGCCTCTTAAATGCGTTAACTGAAACCGTGTTTTTAAATGTGAGGTGAGGTCGACAAAAATTAATGATATATTTTTAAACATAAAGAATAAATGTTATTTTATTTTCCAGAGTCGCTGAAATGCCAGAGACATTATTCACAAAGAATGATTACATTGTTTTTGATTTCTTTTTCATCATTGATAAATTATTGAAAAAAAAAAAAACTGAAAAAGAAAAATGTCATTGCTTTCAATTTATAGATTACGTGACATTTGTGTCGGCTGCTTATATCGACAAAACACTGATACGAAATTATTTAAATCTATGGCAGATGGGCGTTAAATATTCGAATGGCAAGGATCGAAAACGTTCAAGACAAGTGAATGTAACATGTTGAGGGTTTGCATTATATAAAATATAAAATAGCAGACAATAAAGAAGAAAGAAAATATTTTTACATGTATGGAGATAGGTAAAGGAAAGGCAGAAAAAGATTAATGCGTTTCACCAGCAATGTGTTCGCGTGCGTGAGTGCGCCACGTAGTAGGGTTAACATTAAGTAGTTGGCTGCCCAATGATTATCTCTTCTGAGGAAAACTCGACAACGTCTTGCAATCACCTTCTATGGGTTAAAGCCAAAAAGATGTTCTTCCTTTTATAGTCTTGAAAAGAACACCTGCTGGTGGACATCCTTGCAGATAAGGAGGGATAGACCCACACAGCTTCAATTTTTCAGATAAATAAGTACTTAATTATTAAAAATATTGTATACTGTACATGCACACGTGTTTTTAAAATCTAAGATGTATTTTGGTTATAACTTTTTACATGCGTTAAATGAAAACCGTGTTTTTAAAATGTTTTAGACAGCTTTTTCTTTTGCACTTCCCAGCAGTGGAACTCCCTTCCTCTTACTGGCTTCCCTGATAACTATAATCTTCAAATTTTTTAAATGTAATGTCTGTCGACATTCTGTTGCCTTGATGCCTGTTCTTCTTTTCATCCGTTAAAAACGGAGCAAGCATAAAAAAAATATGGAAAAAAACAGTACTTAGATTTTACTGCTGTCCGCAACTAGATGTTTCATGTCGACATAAAGGTTAGTGTCACAAAGTCCTCGGGCGGTTAAAACAGCAATATATAGGTACCTCCACTCGGTCGCGTAAAAACAGCATAGCATGATGAAAAAAAAGTCCCCAAACTCAATAAGAACAAAGTTTTGTCATCAAAATGTGGTTTGTTGTTATTAAGGAAAAAGACCAAAGTATTTTTTTTTATTATTTTTTGAAATTTTTTACTCCTTTGTAGCATGTTGTAATTTTTTGGTAAATTTTTTTTTTTTTACGTCAGCGGAGAACCAAAGATGGGGTTAATTTTTTTTTTTTTTTACCGGTAAAAAACACATTGATTTGGAAATTCTTGCAAAATTCAAGTAATTCTCGGATTTTAATGAAACTATCAGGACGTATTCAGACATTATATTTGAAATTTTTCTTTTTCGAAAATCTTGGTAATAAATATCAAAGAAAGAGAGTGTCGATCGTTAAGAAATGCTTGTATATTGTTTTTTTTTATGCTATAAGTAAATAATATTTATTTCAAATCAGATAAATTTAACTTTAAATTTTCTCATTTTACACAAATAACGTGTCACAAACCTATAATTTAATTTTGAAAGAATTTTAAACCCGATAAATTTGTTTGTTTACAAATTACTTAAAATTAAAAAAATGGCCGCTTTAAAATTTTTTTAGAACATCGAGCGATTATTTGACATTCCAATCAATATAATTTCTATCTGAAATACACCAGAATAGTTTACTCATTTGAAATAATGAATTTAATCATTTAGCTTTCAGTTAAAACTATAATGAAATCTTCAAGAATGCTTTTTCATTTTTAAAATTTAATTTTAAAACTTAGGTATTGAAAATTCAGTGGAGGTAACTATACTTATAGTATCATGGTTTGTTAGATCCTTGCTGAATGTTCCATATTTTCGGCCTTGTGCCACACCTAATCTATGCTTAGAAAATTATATGGGGTAGTCCGATATGGTGTACTAGTTAGCAGTTTTGTCTTGGTAGATCAATTATGACTGAATAGTGAGT